GTCAGGCAGAATATTCCAAGGACTCAGAAATTATCTCCAAGGAGCCAACCAAGGGCCAGGCCTGCTGTGTTAATCCTTTCTTGCACAACCCCCTCTAAGGGAACAGAAGTTTGCAAAGCCTGTGATCTCTCATTTATAATATATCATTTCCAGTAACTAATAGCTACACTTGATTAAGTGAGGAGCATGTGCCATCATCTCTCAAAATCAAAACAAAACAAAAACAAACCCAAATCTAACAACTAAAACTTATCAGAGAATCACCAGCTGAGAATTAGGATCCATACTCTGAGGGCTAGGCAGGCTTTGAGGATCTAGGAATAATTCACGCAGGATAAGAGTTCTCAAAGAACTCATCAAGGCAGAAGGATTGCTTGAGGTCAGAAGTTCAAGACCAGCCTCAGCAACACAACAAGACCCTGTCTCTACAAAAAAGAAAAAAAAATGTAGTTGGGCAAGGTGGCATATGCCTGTAGTACCAGCTATTTGGGAGGTTGAGTTAGGAGAATCACTTGAGCCCAGGGGCTTGATGTCACAGTGAGTTATACGATCATGCCATTACACTCTAGCCTGGGTGACAGAGTGAGACCCTGTCCCTCAAATAAAATAAAAAGGAATTCAGAGTCTAAGGAACAGAGACCATCTAATCCAGAAGATAGTGATGGAAAAAATAAGATGAGAGTCATGACAAGGGTGAGCCAGGGAACTCTCAGAACAGAGAGGGGTAACCAGGTGGTCAAGAATCGCTTTTCCCAGCTCGGCGCCTATAGCTCAACCGGCTAAGGTGCCAGCCACGTACACCTAAGGTGGCGTGTTCGAATCCCCAGCCCGGACCCGCCAAACAACAATGACAGCTGCAACCAAAAAAAAAATAGCCGGGTGTTGTGGCGGGCGCCTGTGGTCCCAGCTACTTGGGAGGCGGAGGCAAGAGACTCACTTGAGCCCAGGAGTTGGAGGTTGCTGTGAGCTGTAATGCCTCGGCACTCTACCCAGGGGGACAGCTTGAGGCTCTGTCTCAAAAAAAAAAAAAAAAAAAAAAGAATCGCTTTTCCCAAGGGATGATGTGAGTATTCCAGGTACTGCTTCAATGTAAATAACTTTTAATCTCTCTGTTCATCATTTCCATTTTTATTAAAAATAAAAATCTCATTGCTCAATTATTTTCATTTTAATAGATGAGGTAAGTGAGAAAAAGAGAAGGTAAGTATCGTATTCCTAGTCCCTGGTGCCACCAGTTTTCAACTTAAGATTCTGGGAACACTTAAGAGTCTGTGTACTTTTCACGACAACCATTATTTTTGCTCTTAATAATGTCTTCTGTTTTAATTCACATTTACCATAAATATTTTTCCTTGCTCTGCTTGCCCCATAAATTCCCTTTCTTTAATTTATCTGGAATTTGCATTTTTACAGATTTATTGCCAAACTGACAACATATTTTTTTCAGTGGTCGTGCCATTTCGTACTCCCACCAGTAGTGTATGGGATTGCGTTGTTTCACGTCTTCATGAATACTTGATATAGTCAGCTCCTTTAATTTAGGTCATTCTAATAGACGTGTTCGTGGTATGTACTTCGGGTTTTAATTTGCATTTCAACACTTTGAGCATATATTCTTGTGCTCAGTTTTCAATGATAAATGCGGTCTTACAATTAAGTTCGCGAACTTGCTACTATGCACTTTATGTTGGCAGTACTGGACAAGAAACTCAGGTTTCATAAGGTTTCATAACCTTGGTGTATAAGTGTCTCACAGCTGTGTTTGTGTCGACATATTGGTGGTGTCTTGCTGAGTGGTGTTCATTATTTTGTGTGCCATTGTGAGAATGTTGGAACTTGAAGTAAAGCAATGAATAAACATTAAACTTCTTGTTAAACTTGGCAGGAGTGGAAGTGAAATCAGGGACACTGTAGTCCAAGTTTATGGGGATAATGCCATGAAGAAAATGGTAGACAAATGGATTAAATGTTTTTCTAAGGGGAGAGAAAGTGATGTGAGGAAGAGAGGTCAGGGCAGCCAGTTATGAGCAGAACTGATGAAAATATTGCAAAAATTTGTTGAATTGCATCAAAATCATCAGCTGACTGTGAGAAGCATAGTAGACCAAGTAAACACAGATAGAGAAACAAGAAAATCTTGGTATGAGATAAGTGTGTGCAAAAATTGTCTTGAAGGCACTCACCGATGAACAACAGCAAGGAGAGTTGAAGTTTGCCATGACCTTTTGGAGAGGCAAGTTTTGGGTCATGTTATCGTAACTGCTGATGAAACATGGGTGTACCAATATGACCCTGAAATAAAATGTCAAAATGCACAATGGAAGTGACCCAATTCTCCATGACTAAAAATGTTCCATCAGTCCAAATCAAGAATCAAAATGATGTTGTTAACCTTTTGTCATATCAGAGGTATTAGTCATTATGAATTTGTACCAACCGGACAGTTAACCCAGTTTACTATTTGGAAGTGCTAAAGTTAGGCAAAAATGACCTGAAGTTTTTTCCAACAACTCATGGCTCCTGCATCATGATAATGCACCAGTTCACATGGCACTATCTGTGAGGAAGCTTTTAGCCAGTAAACAAATAACTGTATTGGCACACCTTCCACACTCACCTGATCTGGCCCTGAATGACTTTTTTCTTTAATCTAAGACAAAGGAAATCTTGAAAGGAAGACATTCTGATGACAGTCAGTACATCAAGGGTAATACAACAATAGCTCTGATGGCCATTCCAGAAAAAGAATTCCAAAATTGCTCTGAAGGTGAAGTAGGTACTGGTGTCAGGGCATAGCTTCCCAAGGGGAGTACTCCAAAGGTGAGCATAGAGATATTCAGCAATGAGGTATGCAGCACTTTTTCTAGGGTGAGTTCACAAATTTAATTGTCAGAGTTCTTATATTCTTGTCTGTTTAGATTTCCTGAACATATTTTATTGTTTTTTTGTCTTCTTATTTTTTAAGGTTTTACTATTTATTTTTATCTTTTATTGGTATCTGAAATTTTACAGTAATCTTCCTTTATTCTTCTGGGTTGGATTCTCAGATCCTTTTTTTTTTTTTTTTTAGAGACAGAGTCTCACTTTGTTGCCCT